ATATATATATATACATGTGTGTGTGTGTGTGTGTGTGTGTGTGTGTGTGTGCGCGCGCGCGCGCGCGCGCATATATGTGCATATGCATGTATGTTTACATTTATATTTTGGATGAGGGAAAATGTATATCTATATATATTACAAAGCAGATATGACGCTCGCATTTATATTTGTTACTAAATCAGTGCTGTGTGACACGTGTTGTTATAAAATCATTTTTGCCCACATAATATAATAAATGCATTATTAAGATGACTTTAAACACCCCAAAAGAATATTGCAAATACTCTAGAAAATAGCAAAGCGCTAAATGTTTATGTATTTTTCCATACGTTTTATCTTTCATGTTGGAAAAATCTTTACATTTGGGGAGGGCTGAAAATAGCGATGTAAGTGAGTGCAACCTGTAGAAAACAAACCAAAGAAAACAATTATGACAAATAAGATATTTCTTGATACAAACTAATATTTAATTTATCTCTGTGAAATTAAATGAAGACCAAAGAAGAGAAAAAATATTTGTGAATATTTGTGAATTGAAAATAACTTATTATTCAAAATAAGTTATTTATAATATTTTTCCGTTTTTCTGACTTACACCACTATGATTCTCAGTCTTCCATATGTTGGATTCTTATGCATTGTACTTTTGTATTTATTATGTTGAATCTATCTATTATCTGTATATGCTGAATCTGATTATATATGTTGGACACTTTTAATAATGTATAAGTAATAAATAAATATAAGTAACTAATTTATTACTTATATTAAATTTTAGATGTCAATAATAGAAACAATTAATGTTAAATATTAAATAATCTAAGTTTTATTTTTACATAAACTATTTAAACAAAGATTGAATTAATCTTTTCGGAAAAGAAATTTGAATGTTGAATAGAATCTATATTTTCAAAAAAGAAAAATCTATAAAAATAGAAAAGATGATTAGACTAATAAAATAAATAAAAACATAATCATAAAAGATAATAAAGATATAATCATAAAAGATAATAAAGATAGCAGAAAAGCAGAAAGGAAAGAGAAACTTGTTGGTATATGTTCACAGCGAAAATTATCTATTGCAAGCAAAATCTATCAAACGCAGTATGAAGACAATTAGAGACAGATTCTGTTCGATTTTTGCCGTCTATCTGCTACAAATCAGAATATGTAAATATTTGAAAGGTTCTCTATCCGATTTCTACTATTAATTGGCGCTATATTACAGATTTGATATCTGCTATATTTCCTTGACAAACTTCGCCAGATTTTGCCAATACATTGTCGCAGCAATTGCTGATAATTATTTAAGAAATGTTTAAAAAAGAACTAAAAAAATATATTTTGCGTATTATATTTACTATCACGAGTCTTTAATCTGCACGAATTACTGCAAACATTCCTAATCTGCATAAGTTATTGCAATGATCTGCATAAGTTATTGCAATGATGATCAAACTGAAAAGCGTACTCGAAAATTCTTCTGGGGTTTTATGTATTACTTTCTTTATCATTAAAAAAAATGTAGTCTCTCTCACAAGATCACATAACTTATGTATCTTGCACAAGTACCTAGATAAGCTAATACGGCATGCCTTATACTACAGACGGTCACGATGCAGAAAAAAACTGCTGAAGGCGCTGCACAGTTCTGCGATCCAATGCGCACAAATCAAAGTCGAACGTCTTCTTCGTGATTTCGTATTGACCAGTCTCTGCGATTACTTGCACGACTCTTTGCAGCTCGTCATTGTCTTGCAATGTCATTATCTTGTGTTGCAGATCCTTCAGTTGTGATACGTAATCCTCGGAAAATACTGGTGGCTCGTTGATCTCGGCATCGGTACTGTTGGTAGAATCTGGAGCTACCTGTTCAGCGTCAGTCTCATTGTCTTTGTCATTTAATCCCTGGTCAGCTACATTAACAACACGATCATCCTTTTCCTTTTTCAATTCTTTCTTTATCTCCTTGTCCGAATGATGGACTGGGTCAACGTCCATCACGACTGGAGATTGACTCGACGAAACTGGCTCTAACGGTGGAGAAGCCGATTCCTCCCTCTTTTCACGTTTCACCGAAATTTCATCGTCTTCTTTGCTTCGCTTTCTTTTCCGACTTTCCCTATCCTCACCTCTGCTCCCTTTGGATTTATCTTTTCTGCTACGATCATTTTTCTCTTTCTTCATCTCTACTGATATACCAGGGGAAAGTGGCTTTGCAGATTCTATTGGCAGGGTCATTACTGTATGCTCTGGTTCCTTTTTGATATTAAGTATAGGTTTGCTTTCAGACAATGAATCATCGTCTACCGAAGGTGCTGAATCACTACTTTCCGGAACCTCGGTCAAAAGAGACGACAACGGATTCCCGACTAGTGAAGGTGTATTTTGTTTCTCGCTCCCATCCTTGCTTCTTTCGCGCTTTTCCTTTTTCTCTCTGTCTTTACTATCTCTTTTATCCTTCTTGTCTCTTTTCTTGTGTTTATGTTTTTGTCGGTCTTTGTCTACCTTACCGTCTTTCACTTTGTCAGATTTCTCACTCTTCTCTGACTTCTCTCTGATTGCTTTATCATCCTTCACCTTGTCACTTTCTTTCCCAGGTTTTGGAGATTTTCTGCCATCTTTTGACGATTTGTACTCTTGTGATTTCTCCTTGTCTGATTTCTCCGTTTTATCCGTTTTATCAGGTTTCTTCTCAATTATTTTTGTAGCATCTTTAACATTACCTTTCTCTACTTCTTTATACTTATCCTTTCTTTCTTTATCTCTATCATCTTTGTGTTTCTTCTTGTCCTTCTTCTTCTCAGATTTTGAATCTACATCACTCCTGGAATTATTTTTTATCCTTTCCTTCTCTTTACTATCTTTCTCTTTGTCCAGTACAATCTTTTTCGCTTCCTTTTCTTTTGGTTTCGGAGACAAAGGTCGTTTCGTCAATGAAGGAGGACTTAATGGCTTCTTTGTAGGGACAGGTGATGCTGGTCTCTTGCTTCCAGGACTCGAATGACTTTTACTTCCAGGACTAGGAGGTCTCTTAGATTTTTCTTTACTTTTGAGAGAATCTTTAGAACTATCTCTAACCTTCTTATCTTTCTTTTCATCTATCTTATCTTTTCGACTATCTTTATGAGGACTTTCTTTCGCTTTAATTGTTTTGTCTACTTTGTCAGATTTTTCAGTAACAATTACTGGTTTAGGAACTGAATTTTTATCAGACTGACTTGTCTTTTTGCTTTCTGGTGATATCTTCGCAGGTGCTGTCTTTATTGGAGGACCAAATAAATCATGAAATGAGTTAGAAGTTTTAGATTCAGTGATGCGATGCTTTTTGGTTTCGCTGCCATTCAGTTTTGGTTTGCCAACCATTGTGGATGTTTTTGTATCACTTTTCTCTAATGAACCATCTCTACTAGATACTGCGACCTAAAATTATGAAATATAATTAAATTACATGTAGCTTTTACTTTTACAGCGCAATAAACACAAATCTGCAAAGATTTAAATTATTAAATCTTAAATTAAATCTAATTATTAAAATTATACTTACAGCACCACCTTTCAATAGTTTTTTCCTAAAATCATCAGAAGGATTACGAATCACTTCAACGTGACGTATAACTTTATTAATAGTTGGGCCAGTCTTCTGTAGATGAAGATCATATGATATTTGAAACTTCTTGGGTTCATCTTTATTTTTTAAATAAATTTCAATCGGCATTATAAAACCCGCATAGCCAGATTCTTCTACCATAAATGGTGGTTCTTTCAATACTCTCTTAGGATTATTAAAAGTATTATGTAAAAGAAATACCACTGAAAAAAGATCAGCTTTATGTATATAATATCAAAAAAGGATAATCTTTTCACATTACATTAACTGACAATATAAATATTGTCAAAATATTGTAAAAAAATAAAATCTAAGAAAATTTATCAAGAATGCAGATAATAAATACAGTAATAAATATTTTCAAAGTAATAAAGAAAATCGAAGCAAGAGGGAAAGAATTACCTTTGTCAATGTAATGATGTATCCCAGCATCATTCACTCCTCGTACAAATACTTTCCAATCATGAGTGTATCCCTTGGAGGTGACACACTCGCGCAGCGTGGAAGAGTGTCCACACTCCAACGTGATTCGTATCGCCATCCTCTCTCTCTGAAAGACCTCGATCTTTGTTTCGCAAAGAAAGAACTAAGGGACAGCCGTGTTCCAGGCGGAGTTCCAAGGAACGCTGAGTTTCATGACATTTTCGTCCTCGGAGAAGACGAGATGGGATTACTGGCCGTCGTCGTCGTCGTCGTCGTCGTCGTCGAACGATCGCCGGGAAAATTTTCGGGATCAACCGAGCGTACCGTCTAGAATCCGCGCGCGCGACCGAGAAGCATCGCGGGTCCAGTCCGGGCTACGTGCGTACTGTAATGACAACTCTTGTTTTCCGCTCATCAATGCACGCGGAACGCGGGCGCGTATTCGCTTCTGCACGCGCCTGTTTCTTGTATGAAAATGTTCACCGCCGCGATGGAGAACCGACGCGTGTCCGGCTCACTGTGAGTAAACCGCCAGACGAATTTCGTTCCGATTTGTCGTTCTCTCACGTCGCGCCGAGTGCCGATTATCAACAGGTAAACCTTACACCAACGAGGCTCGTCGGCATCGTAGGCGATCCTCGTCCTCCCGTGTGATCCCGCATAAACCTCGTGCCCCGCTCTCCCTTCGCCGTATATTCGAGAAAAAAAAAAGACCGAAGCCGCCATCTATCGGCAGCACTCTCACTCATGGAAAGGCTTAGTACGTATGAATGTTGCGCGATTCAATCAGATAGTTGGGGCAGGAGAAGACAAGCAATCAGATGTTGGACAAAGTAGACTTTTGGTAGTAACTAGGAATAAAAGTCTTTCATTGGATGCCGAGTGGAGATTTTGATCGTTAAAAGGAGACTTGTTCTTTTAATCTCTGGGCTGCGTTCAAAAAAAAATAACAGTTCGAGTGCACCTATATTTTATATTTTTGTTTAACTATCGATGAACAACAAGGATAAAATAATTCGATAATGTTTCTGATCGCATTGGTTAAGTGGCCGAATTATTTAAACGCAATTGGTCAATTCTCTTTTCATCCGAGATCTCGGATCGATTTCTAGCATCGTGAACACAAGGCATGACCCTAGTTTAGGGTTGATTTCGATCCATAATAGATATTTAATCTTTAAACCGTAAGAAATTGACCTATCATAAGCGATTATTTTTTTCATATTCGATTATGATTGGTCAATTTCTTACTTCTTAAAGCTTAAATCACCTATTGTGGACTGACACTTATGGAGGCTACAAGTCGAATATGAAAAGAATAATCGACTATGATTAGTCAATTTCTTACGGCTTAAAGATTAAATACTTATTGTGGACCGACACTAATCTGTCACTTATGCCGTAACTGTAAAAAATTGACGAATCATAGTCAATTATTCTTCTATAATTCGATTATGATTGGTTAATTTTCCCCTAACCCTAAGTCGATATCTCTTTGTCAAAAAATTTATATAAATTTATAGTTATTATTAATAAAAATATTAATGAGTATATATATATATATATAATTAATATTAATGTAATATAAGCGGATCCGGAGATAATTGAAGAATAATGATCTTACCGACCTGTACTGAGGATAACAAAGGGATGATGATGTTTATTTAGTATTGTTATTATGACGGATTTTAAATTAATAGTTCTTTTTATAACAGAAAATAAAATAAATTTTTAGGAATACAAAAATAATAGTACAATTCAAAGTTATTCTAATAACTTGTTTTCAGTGTTTTATTTTAAATAATTTAATTTTCATGACATGAATTTCGGGAAATATAAAAAATATAAAAGAACTGCAAAAGTTTTAAAAAATATTTAAACTGAAGGAAAAAAATAACATTGTTTTTTCGCAGAAGTCTCCACTCTTTACTATTTCACTTTTTTTTGCATGTTATGACTATTACATAGATAGCGTCAACAAAAGCATCAACAATTAAAGTCTTACACGGCCTTTTTATAAATGGAATCTAACATAAAATTAATTCTTAATATATTTAATTAAATTTTGAGTGGAATATAAAAATTTGCAAACATGAATAAATATCGTCGAAAGTGTTTAGTATAATTTATTCTATTATAATCGAAACGATATATCTACAATAATAATAATAATAATAATAATAATAATAATAATAATAATAGTTTCACGATAATTACGAACGATTACTTTTAAACTAATAATCTAATCCAAATACATATCTTTACATTGGACACTTTCAAATTCAATATGAATTTAATTATAATTTTGTAATATGTACATATAGCGATAACTAATTTATTATAACAATCATTTATTGTAACACACATAAGATATGTAAGATGTCTATATATCTAACTTTAATAAGTCGTAACTAGTCTATTAAACAAACAAGCAAATGCACGATAATAGATTATTCAGAAGGAATCATTTACAACTTAACGATTACAGCATTTAATGTTGAGTTATCAAAAGATGTTGTAGAGCCTTGTATTAGTTAGATATTTATTCGCAATATTGAATATTTCGTTTTGACACACGTTATAGATATCGCGGCCTTCAAAACTGTTTACGTGCCGTGGCTGTGATATGTACGGCCGTGTTTACAAACGCTTCACGTGTTATCATTCTTTATCCGGCGTTCGTACGGCGAACAGGTAGCGGCGCGTATCGCTTCGCGTTTCCTCATATTCTTTTATTGTTAATTGATACCAAACGTTGCCGTACATATGAATAATAATAAATAAATATATAATAATAAATAATCAACAATTAGCTATTCATAAACGTATTCAAAATGATATTTTTTTAATAACGATAATTTTTTAATATTTTTTTAATACATATCGCGCGATTTATTTAAAATTTATGACTTTTTGTAAATGATAACCTCAACGATGGGTACGGCCTTGACGTGGCGGAGGGGCTGAGTATTCCGAGGGGTTTCGTACCCCAAAGAACGAAGAAGCCAACAGTACCCATTGCATCATTATTAATAATATTCAATAATATTACAAATAATATCTAACTTATACGAAACTACATCTTTTAGTAACCGAAAATAATAATTAAATAACGTGTGTATATATATTTCATTAGAGAGTATTGTTTCGCGATATGCTTGTGAATCGACGACTATTGCGTGTGTTATTAATATATTATTAATTAATATTACCGTTGGATG